CCACCGCCATGTCCGCGGTCGTGCACCTCCGCTCCTCACAGCACGCCGTGGCCGCCGCGCCCGCGTGCTGCACAGCTCGCGCGCTGCTGGCGTCTGCTGCCGCAAGGCCGCGAGCGCCGCACCGCAGACGCCCGTCGTCGCGCTTGCCCGTCGCTCCCTGGCCTCGCCAAGGCGCGGCCTTAACTGCTGCTCTTGCTGCACTGTCTTCTGCTACTACTTGCCGCTGCTGCTGCTCCTCTAGTCCTCTTAGCCGCTGCTTTGCTCTGCTGCTGGCAGCCGCACTACTCTGCGCACTGCTGCTGCTCAAGCCGCTGCCTGCTACTGTGGCTACTTACTACAGCTGTTGCTTACGACTTGCTGCGTAGCCGGCCGCCGCTGCTCTAGCTGCTCCTGGATGCTAGTTTTGTTACTCCTAGATGCTGTGCTAATGGCCATGGCCGAGCAAAGCATGAGTGATGTGCGTGTACGTGTACAGCCAAGCCACCAGTGGCCGGCCCGTCCAAATTAGCTTAGGGGATAAGTTCCAGTTAGTTTAATTGCTAGCCAATGACCGGTAGACCCCACCTCTAATTATCTCTTTAAAAGGAAAATACTAAATGTGTGAGAATGACACTGGGCCCCACTACCCAGGTTTGACCAGTCAATAGTTGACTAGTCAACCACGGACTGGACTAATTGACTAGGTCAACCCAGCCCCCTGGCCCCACATGTCATTGACTGTGGCTAGCCCCTGCTGAGTATAAAATGTATATTCTGATCTAATTCGATTTTAAGAATAAATCCAGGAATTTTTAAAAAAACTTTAAAAAATTAATATAAAATAAACCGTAACTTGAATGAAAAAACTTTGTACATGAAAGTAGCTCAGAACGACGAGACGAATCCGAATATGCAGTTCGTTCGTCCGCCACACATTCCTAGCATAGCGAACACGTAAATTTTCCCCTCCGGTTCACCTGTCCGAAAACGCGAAACACCGGGGATACTTTTCCGGATCACCTACTACCGCGTTGGGGCACACCTAGCACCGCGTATTGCCATGTTACGCTTTGTATTGCTTTGTTTGCTCTATTATTTATTTGTGTTCCCCCTCCGTTACTTCTTTCCGGTAGACCTCGAGACCATCGCTGGTACCCCAGTGACCGACTACATCAACGACGACCCCCTCCTTCTGGCAAGCCCCCCCCCTTTGATCACCAGATATCCCCTATTCTTCCCTCTACTGCTTGTATTAGAGTAGTGTAGCATGTTACTGCTTTCGGTTAATCCTATTCTGCTACATAGCTTGTCATTGTTGCTACAGTTGTTACCCTTACCTGCAATCCTAAATGCTTAGTATAGGATGCTAGTATTTCATCATTTGCCCTACATTCTTGTTAGTCTGCCTTGCTATACTATCGGGCCGTGATCACTCGGGAGGTGATCACGGGTTATACTATACATACATATACTATACAGGTGGTGACTAAAGTCGGGTCAGCTCGTTGAATACCCGCAAGTGATTTTGATGTGGGGGTTGGAAGGACAGGTGGCTCCATCCCGGTAGAGGTGGGCCTGGGTTCCCGACGGCCCCGGACTGTTACTATGTGGCGGAGCGACAGGGCAGGTTGAGACCACCTAAGAGAGAGGTGGGCCTGGCCCTGGTCGGCGTCCGCGGTTACTTTAAAATAACACGCTTAACTAGATCTTGGTATTTGATCTGAGTCTGGCCACTGGCCTATACGCACTAACCAACTATGCGGAAAAGATATGGGCACTCGACATCATGGTATCAGCCGAAGCCTTCATGACGTCAGCAACTGAGCGGCGCGCGCCGGATTGGAACGTAAGCCTGCTCTTGTATTAAGGGGGCTAGTTCTGCTTCCGGCCGCCCTCGCAACATGCAGGTGTGCAATGGGCGATGGGCCCAGACCCCTGCGCCATAGGATTTAGACCGGCGTGCTGACCTCTCTGTTGTGCCTAGGTGGGGCTGCGACGTGTCGATCTTCCGAGGCCGGGCATGACCCAGGAAAGTGTGTCCGGCCAAATGGGATCGAGCGTGTTGGGTTATGTGGTGCACCCCTGCAGGAAAGTTTATCTATTCGAATAGCCGCGTCCCTTGGTAAAAGGACGACCCGGAGTTGTACCTTGACCTTATGACAACTAGAACCGGATACTTAATAAAACACACCCAGACAAGTTCCACAGACAACCCGATGATCGCTTTTCCACAGGGCGACGAGGGGAGGATTGCCGGGTAGGATTATGCTATGCGATGCTACTTGGAGGACTTCAATCTACTCTCTTCTACATGCTGCAAGATGGAGGCTGCCAGAACTGTAGTCTTCGATACGACTAGCTATCCCCCTCTTATTCTGGCATTCTGCAGTTCAGTCCACTCATATTGCCTCCTTACACATATATCCATGCATATGTAGTGTAGCTCCTTTCTTGCGAGTACTTTGGATGAGTACTCACGGTTGCTTTCTCCCCCCCTTTCCCCCCTTTCCTTTCTTTCTGGTTGTCGCACCAGATGCTGGAGTCTAGGAGCCAGACGCCACCGTCGATGATGACTCCTACTACGCTGGAGGTGCCTACTACTACGTGCAGCCCGCTGACGACAACCAGGAGTAGTTTAGGAGGATCCCAGGCAGGAGGCCGGCGCCTCTTTCGATCTGTATCCCAGTTTATGCTAGCCTTCTTAAGGCAAACTTGTTTAACTTATGTCTGTACTCAGATATTGTTGCTTCCGCTGAATCATCTATGATCGAGCACTTGTATTCGAGCCCTCGAGGCCCCTGGCTTGTATTATGATGCTTGTATAACTTATTTATGTTTTAGAGTTGTGTTGTGATATCTTTCCGTGAGTCCCTGATCTTGATCGTACACATTTGCGTGCATGATTAGTGTACGATTGAATCGGGGGCGTCACAAGCTAGTGCCGTATCGCCCTAGGTTATGACTGTCTCATGATGAATATCATCCAATGAATCGCCGATCCAATGCCTACGATTTTCCTACATATTGATCTTGCTAAGTTACTACTGCTATTATTACTATTGCACTTGCTACAAAACTATTGCTATCACTGTTACCGTTACTATTGCTGCTGCTACTATTATCAAAACTATCATACTACTTTACTACTGATCACTTTGCTGGAGATAATTAATCTCCAGATGTGGATGAATTGACAACTCAGCTGCTAATATTTGCAAATATTCTTTGGCTCAGTGTCGAATCTATAAATTTTGGTTCAATACTCTACCCTCGAAAAATGTTAGATCCCATATATTTGTGGGTTATCAATGCCCTATGACATAGTGAAGGAATAACGTATCATGTCCTCCTATATCCTATAGGACTACAAAAAAGGTAAAATTTTGGACAGGAAAATGTTTGATATATCCAATAGGACTACAAAAATGTAGAATTTTAGACAGGAAACAGAATATCTACTAAGAAGTTTAAGCTTATGAAACTTTCCTCAGAAAATAGAGTATAAATGTATACTATCATAAAATTCCTCTGGATTGCATTCATGTGAATCAAACTATCATTGAAGGAAAAAATCCAGAGGATTCAAATCCTCCGGAAATCCTATGAATATCATATGAATCAAACGAGCCCTAATTAAATTAATATTTTTTTGACCAAAACACTCCCCAAAAGGTATTTTATTATATCCGAGAAGATTAAGAAACACAAATGACCCAAGATATTTAGGTTAGAAAAACCAAAGGATATATAGCTTCTAATCGATGAATACAATGTCACACAGTTGAATCATCCCTCCTTTTTATTCTCTTGACCAGACTGTAGCTCCCAAACCTCATCATCGCTTCACCCACAACAGGCCTCTGCAACAACAGGCCCCACCCTGGCCCCTTTTTATTCACCTGCATCTCAAACCACAACAAGAAACGAGTTTGTATTCTCCAGCAGCAACTTCTTCATCCATCCACCCCTAAACGAACTTGCAAAATTCCTTTGTGAAAACAGTGCAGAAAGACTCACGGAAAACAGCACGGGAAGGCACACAGTGAAGAGGTGATGGGTAGTCAACTAAAGCATTGTACGAGTGAATATAAGCGTAGTTGGATTCCAACGAGAATGACATCAGATGACGACAAGCACAAAAGAGTGGAGCAAGACCCAAACAGTGTGAATGCAAATTTGCCCCCAAGAGGAAGCGTGAACGATCCAAAGAACCTTTGAAAAGATGTGAATCTTGAGTCTATGAAAATTGTTTACCAACCAACTGGCTTCCGTCCCTCGAGATATACATGCATCAACTATTCTTTTTAAAATCTGTGGCTATGATTGTGTCACATCCAAAGTATATTTGTCGACAGAACCACTGATGGATCATGCCATGGTATCTGCTCGTCACAGAGTATGTGAGGACATTAGTTCTTTATAATACCGCAGTGTAAATTCATGGATTTTTGAACTTTTTCATGAGTTAAAGGTGAAACCAAATATATCTCAAAAGGGAATGTATTAAAAGGAAACTCACAAGAAATGTGTTACTAGTCCATGGGTTATCCACAGCCAACCTCTCCGATAACGGTGGGTGACCTATTTTTCCTTTCATTTATTCATTATTTTAGCGCCGGCGAAGTAAATACTATTACAGTAACCGACGGACGGCGACGCGAGTGACGGACGGCAACGGATCCCTGTGCGTGCTGCGTGCGTGTGGGTGTGCTGCCCGGAAGACGGGATCTTTCCTTCCCTGATTCCAGCACATTGTTGTTCCATCCAATGATGATGCGCTAGTCGCTAATCCGCACGAATTATCCGCAAGAATATCAGGGCTGGGGTTTCTCGGCGTTGGCCACGGGCGGAGCCACAGAAATGGGGGCCGAGAGCAGCGGCTAATTTTAGCCAGCAGCGCGGAGGAAAAAGCCTGAGGCAGCCGCTCGCCCGCCTGCCTCCAAGAAACCGCGGCGATCTGTCGCCTATCCAATCGCCGCTGAACTCTAATTCGATTTGGTTTTCCTGGGCGCTGGGAGAGGATGCAGTGGGTGGGCCTGAGCTCGCCGCCGGCGGCGCCGACGGTGGTCTGGATGCGGCGGCGTCCAAGAACAACGAGATGGCCGCAGAGGAGCTCGTCCGCCGCACGGAGGGCGGTCGTGGCGGCCGCGTCCTCGTCCCCACCGTCATCCGATGCCAACTCGAGCTCCAACTCGCCGGGCAGTGACGAGGAGGCGGAGGAGGCCGCGGGGAAGGCGGAGGGTGACAAGACGGCGGCGGCCTTCTTGTTGAGGAGCCAGAAGTACGCTATGCTCAAGCAGCAGCTCGCCGTAGCCGCCCAACTCGAGGTACAGCCCGCAGAATGCAAAAATTGCTACCAACCAATGCAAATCTGTGCTGCTCGGCGACTGTAAGTTGCGATTTGGTGCAGGATTACAAGGAGGCTGCGAGGTTGAGGGACTCGTTGAGGTTGTTCGAGGAAGAGGAGCCCGTCCTCCGCCTCCGCCGCTCGCTGAAAAAGGCGGTCGAGGAGGAGAGGTTTGCGGTACTGCACTCATCCATTGCCATTGTTCCTGCTGCCAATTTTGCTACATCTAGCTTCTAGTTGCTACATTTCCATACAAGAACATGTAGAATTCCCCTTTAGGCATTGGCAAAGCTGGATCTTACGGTCTTACCATCCAGCTACGGTAAGAATAGCTGATTAAACCAAAATGACGCAGCGGCTTAGTATAGAAGTACGATGCTGCACGGCTTCTATCTCTCATTCCTGTGCTGACCACTGATTCAACAATTTAACTGGATGCCTTAGTATTTTTCTTCCTCATGTTTGAAGAGTCTATTGCAATGAAAGGAAGTCTTAAGGCAGACATTTTAACAAGCATGCGGCCATACTCGATCTCCTCTGTTCCACTCATGGTTGGAAATTGTGCCTTTTCTGTTATCATTGTTTGAACTGTCAATGTGATCAATACTTATGCTCAATTTATACCACTTCACTGTTATAGGCTTAGAGCTATTTCGTTGTCTTGCTGGTCTCAAGCAAACATGTTTTGTTCACCTCTTAGCATTCTATGATGTTCATAAATTTTTCTGCACTTATACTTTTCAGGATGCTGCCAAGTACAGAGATGAACTGATGATTTTGGCTCCGCACTCCCTCCTCAAATGTTCTAGTGATGCTACAACTCTGGTATTTCTTCTGGTTGAATAATTCTCTGATGCTGCAACTTTGTTATCTTTTCTAAAACTGAATACTGACATCTCCCTTTCACAACACACAATCTGCTGAGTTTTCTAGGTAATCATTCGGCTGTTCGAACTTCAGCATTAAGGTTTACTATAATTTTCTATGACATCATTGGAGCGCTGAATAGACACCAGTTAGTTATGTGAGCAAGAATTCACTAGGAAACTTAGTAACTACTATGAAAAGCGAAAGAAACATAAGAGGCCAACAGGGTCAGGGTCTAGGAATTTCTTTGTACCTCACTTGGTCAAAACTGCACGCTTTGTGCACGACTAGGTCAATCCACATGTTAGGGCACTCTTTTCTTTTTAACATAATCTCAACCTTTACTGGTGTTGGGTCTACCGCCCAGCTTTTTGTACATGTTCTAGCATGCATGTTGAATTTACATGTGCCGTGGTTGATGTGCAATGCACCACTTCCCAACTCTGTTAATTTTTTGATTTAATTACATTTTATTGGAGGGAACTACTTTACATGAAAGATGTGGTTGTGCGATGCTATTTCACATGTATAACTTGGGATGGCTGTAAGGATATGTTTTTTTGGAAGTTCCGCTGTTAAGGAAAAGCTGAATCAACCTAGGAATTGATCAGAACTACTTATTTTCTCATAATCTTCGTCATAGTACTACATTTTAATGATATAGATAAAAAAATTCTTTACAACGTTGACCAATTTCAACTTGTTTTCCTAATATTGTTGAGAAATTTGGATGTTACAGGGGATAAGGGTTCAAGTCAGGAGTGTCTATATTGAAAGCCGGAGCCAACCCTTAAAGGGGAAGTTCTTTTTTGCCTACAGAATCAGAATTACAAATAATTCTCAGCGTGCTGTACAGCTTCTCAGACGACACTGGATTGTCACTGATGCAAATGGAAGGACAGAGAATGTTTGGTTAGTCTGTGATATAATCACCATATTGTAATTATCTTAAGCAAAACACTAATATGACTTGTTCAATTCTTGTCAGGGGTGTTGGTGTAGTGGGAGAGCAACCTGTGATATTCCCAAAGACGGGTTTTGAGTACTCATCCGCATGCCCACTAAACACTCCAAATGGGAGAATGGTAAGATGATACAGGTTTCTTTTCTTGCACAATTTCTTCACAGCCCATGCCTCCATGTTTTTAAAGAAGACAGTACTGGTCAACTTTTACCCGCACGAGAGATTCTTATGATTCTTTGATCTCTGGAGCTCATACCCAAGAATCCTCGACTCAGTTGTTTTGAGCTGTTTGTTGCATTTGGATGTTTACGCCTTGTGGCATATCTGAAAAGTTAAGCTTGACCTGAATAAATGTTCTGAATTGCAGGAAGGTGATTTTGAGATGAAGCACATTGACAAGGTTGGATCCTCGACATTCAATATCGCTATCGCACCATTCTCTCTGTCAATCCTCGGGGACGACAACGACGCTCCCCTCTGAAGGTGATTGAGTAGCAGGACGAGTTTGAAGAAAACGGCAATGCCAGTAAGAGTTTGCACAAATACACAAACACTTGTTAGCGAAGTATTTAGAGCACAGAACTTAGTCCAGACTGATGTTATATCTACTATGAAAAAAAGAGTCAAATGTGAATGGTGGAGGTATTGGAATGTATGGAAATTAACACGGATCTTGTAAATTTGTGGGCTATGAGCGCTTACTGTATCAATTCCACTTTTGAATGTACAGCACATAGAAAGGTCTGTTGATTTGCGTGTTTAGTGGAGTGTGGCGTTGCAGAGGCCGGGCTCCATGGAGCCCGTTTTGCAAAATAATAATAATATATATATTTATTTAAAAAATTTAAAAATGGTCAATTTTTTTATACAAGTACATATGCATGTTCTTCAAGTAGGTACAGGTTTCATCAGGTAATTCGATTATTTGCGTGCTACAAAAAAATAGATAAATATCTAGCCCAAAAACAACAAACAAAAAGCCCATTTTAATCTGTGTGTATTTATCTTTTTTGTATACATTACATATGACCATATATGTTCATGAAATTTTATATGTGTATATTACAAACCACACACATCTATGTATATACTTTTTTTTTCAATATGTGGAAATAGTATTTTTGGTGAAAAAATTAAAGAGCTCTATGGAGCTCAGCCTCTGTATGCACTTTTCGGTGTTTAGTGCCTCTTTGATCCGAGGATCGTTATTGTTAGGAATTATTGGTACGTAGTTGTTTGATTTGTATGATGTTGTGTTAATCTGGTCACACTAAAATATACAGGAAAACTTCAAATGTAGAAGTATAAATTTGGTGATCTACCTACATCGTGAAATATCACTGCACATGATAGAGCAGTAAAAAAGAAAAAGAAAAATGTAATATTTTATATGCACTAACTGAAAGTGGAATAAGCGGATGGATATAATAATCCCTAACAGTAATGCTAATTGGCGAACGTTTGCTGGAAAGAAACTCCCCACGAACGCCTTCACAGCCATTTGATCGAGATACACGGTGGTAGTTTTTCAAAAAACATTGCCTTCTCTACAAGGAATTGTCATGCTAGTCTAAAATTGGCTACCACCCCTGTAACTAAAATTACCATGAAAAACATTCGCAAATACCATCCTCCCCAACGAGCATTCGCCATCTAAGAGGGTCCATTTCTAAAGTATTTAATATGACATATACATACCAAGTGGTCAGCTTGGTAAGCTATCAACAAAAAAAATATGACATATACATACATGTCATATGTGGTTTGGTCATCACATGAGCAAGAAGTTTGTTACCCCTTCGCCCCTAAAGAGGCGGCATATCAATTGAGTCAACTAGATTACCCGTTGCGCCAAATGGCCCATGGTTCTAGTTCAAACCCAGAGTTGTTTGCTAAAAAGTGCTTATCACCGTGGTAATATTTTGTATCCTTTGTAATGCTTAAAAATGAGGAGAACGATTATTTGAAAATATGTAGCATCATTTTCAATTATCTGTACCATTTTCTTCCATCTTTATAAATTTCTATGATAATATGGGGAAAAAGGCATACACTGGTTTATTATACTAGTAAGCTTGCACGTGCAATGCACGTCTGACTTACCATCAAATATGCTAATCTTTATTTGCAAGAAAGCAATATTTTTCATATAGACAAAACCTCCCGAACAACAAAATATTAATCAGATGTCATCATCTATCTGAACCGTCATATAAAGCATTGAAAATGGTCGAATGATTTAGAAGCTGATCTGTTGATAAGTATACTTTGGCTCTGGTAGCACTGAATATTAGTTCCAACAAAAAAAAAGCTGAAAAAGGCACAGTAATTCAGGTTGCCCACAAAAGTCCATGTATCCATCACATATTTTTCATGTGTATGATCATGAACTTACCTAAAACAAAACAATCAAGAAGACTGTCATCCAATAATCCATTAGAAAACTGGAACGAAATGCCTACTGGTAAGGTGCTTCTAGTATTGGAAATTTTCTAGATTCTAACGCCTAACAACGTAGATATGTTAACATTCAACACCTAACAAATAGTATGCCCCACCATGTGTCTCAGAAAGTAGATATGTCATGATAGTATCCAAGGTTTCCAAGTATGAGAGGTCTCCAAAATTTCTAAACATAACCAAATCTAAATTCCATGTATTTGCAGCCTTGAGAAGAATTTATACGATCATGAATTCAAATAAATGATTTGAAAATCGTCAAAGATAATGCACCAATGAATCAGTAGCAGCAGTAACCTAGCTCCAGCCTCGCACATATAATATACCTTAGGCATGACGAAGAGAGCCAATTTTCCTAGGAAGAATATTATGTAAAGCTGTCAATTCTCAAGTTCCTAATTCAGAAATACATAAAGGCCTACATCACAATTAATACATGCCATGTCAATTCTCAAATTCCTATTTCAGAATTACATAAAGGCCTACATCACAACTAATACATGCCATGTCAATTCTCAAATTCCTATTTCAGAACTACATAAAGGCCTACATCACAATTAATACGTGCCATGGCACTGAAAGTATGCATGTAAATGATGATATGAAAAAACACTGTATTTTCTATTAACAAGTAGAATGGAAAACAAAATCCTATATGTAATATCTGATGTTGTTATGCTAACGACATGGATGTCACGACTTCTGTACAGCAAACATCAAAGTAGGTAAATTGTGAACTTATGACCTATGAATCTACTATGTACTGTACATGAAATAAAACTTACATTCATTGCTATAATTCAGCATTTGGTGTGAGCTTAAGATAACATACAACAACTGAATATTGCAGCATGTTAAGAACTCCTTGCCTACCTAGAAAGCTAGAAATATTTGCAACAAAAAGGCACCAAATCTCTATCTTCCGCCACACAGAGATCCCCAAGACCACCTGAACTTTCAATCAAATGGATGATTAATCACTACACGTCAACATTAGCTCCCCCAAAAAAGTACAAACCAAACCGTGACTTGAGAGGGAGATAAACGGATCGAGTTTAATCATGGTCCCACATATTCCAAGTTTTCCTTGCTATTGTTATTTCGATCTGTGCACACAAATAATCAGGAATTAATTGACATAGAGCGAGGAATTAGCAGGAAGACATAGAGGAATAGTACAGGCTACAGAGTAATCTTCTCCGAACCACAAGACAGAGCACAACCAGCTTCCTCTTCCCAACGCCAAGCCGCCAACCCCTCTGCATCCTCCGAGAGCAGAGCAGAGCACAGCCGGCATCACGACAACACGCCTGCTTCACGCCCTTACAGGAAACCCCTCTCCATCCTCGGGCGCAGTCGTGCCCCTGCCCACCAAACGCGTACAGCAGGCCAGCCGCGCACGCCTGCCATCTGCTCTCTGACCGCGCCGCCGACGGAACGAAGCCTGTCCGAGGCAATGGCTGAACCGGCCTCACCTGCACCATGAAGCGTGGCTGCGACCTACTCTCGACCCGTATGCCATACCCGCTACCTCGGCTTCTTGCTCGTCCTCTTCGTCCTTACAGTATTCCTGCTCATCCCAATTTCCTAGCGTCGCAGAGGTCAGAGCAGAGGGCGAGGGAGAGGCGCATGGTGCCGGCAAGTGAGTGGAATAGGACCATGGAGGAAGAAGGAGAACTCCTGATGCGCCAGCCCCGCGCCATCAACGACCGCTCGTCGACGTCCAAGACGCCCATGATCCATAGCTAACCCACGTCCGCCTCCACATCCTCCTTCGGTTTGCCGTAGGCGACCTGAGCGGTGGTGGCGAGAGTTAGTTGTGGTTGGAGGCGCTGGAAACCAGTGGGGGATTGTGGGAAAGAGCAGCGAGAGGGAGAGGGCAAGAGGGGCACAGGGATCTCGGGAAGATCGACAAGGGGAGTGATCCTCGGCAGAATTTTCAAGAAAGGAGCGGGGCATGGCGGGGAATATTTGTCCGCTCGACAGAGTATAGAGCTAGTTTGGTTCTTGTCCTGGGGGCTACGCCTGAGAAAAAGTAATGCCTGAGAATAGCCTGGGCATTTGCTAGTTTCTGCCTGGCCAGGCACGCATGCAACCATTGTGTTTGGTTTGAGTAGCTAGCCTGGAGAACGTGCTACATAAAAAGGTGTGCTAGTTTCTGACACACAATGCAATTAATATATGTATTTGGTCCAGGCAGCCTAGCCAGGCGTGGAGAGAAGGACGCATGAGCCAGGATGATCCTCCTTCCTGGGCTAAACACCATATTTTATTTGAATTTTTTAATTGGGCCAGGCTAATGAGAAATCCAGGCCAGGCAACCTTTTCTTGTTTCAGGCACCAACCAAACAGCTACCAGGCAGGCTTCAGGCACAAGCCAGGCCAGGCGCCGTGAGCCGTGGAAGCCAACCAAACTGACCCATAGTCCGTCAACGTTAAGTGCTATGTGCAATCCTAACCTCTGTTTTAGGCCGTTAGATATCATTAAGTGGGATAATCTGATGGCACAAATTAATCTGGGTACACATAATGGGGTGGTTATAGAAAAGAAAATGTTCTCTTGTTTAATAGTAGGATTGATACTCCCTCCGTTTTTAAATATTTGTCTTTCTAGATATTTTAACAAGTGACTACATACATCCGTGTGTGGTAGTCCATTTGAAATGTCTAAAAAAAAAATATTTAGAACGAAGGGAGTATTCATCAGGGTGCCATGAAATGTGGGCCTAATTTGTGCCTCTTTGCCTAGATCTAATCTAACCCATTGCACCAAATAACACAGATTCAAGCCTCTTCCGGCAGTAGGTCCACTGTGTTTTAGGGGTAGTGGTAAATACATCACAGTAGCATGGCTTCAACAAAAGTGTACTTCCGTGAGAACCAAATACTTCTTTTTTGCAGATGGGTGAGAACAAACGACGGCGGCAAGTTTCTTCGGTGACTTTATAAGGCCCTTTTCCTAGTAGGGTATGTTGGCCTGTAGCTTCACTGGTCATTGGTGTGGCTGTTATTGCCGTTGCA